AAGGTGCGTTACATTTGTTTCCGCTGCCTTTGTTAACGATGTAAAGATGTGTTACATTTGTTTGGGCTGCATTTGCTTAATTATGTAAAGATGTGTTGCTGTTTCACCTTGTCTGCTTAAGGCACCTGATGGATCTAATAAAAAAAAAAAAACTGAATGGTCAATAGTTAGAAGAGAAATAGGCAGGGCTGGCAGGCAGAGAGAATAAATAGGAGGAGAAATCTAGGCAAAAGGGAAGATGAACAGGATGAGGGAGAAAAAGAGGGACATGCCCGGGGCCAGAAACCAGGCAGGCATCAGTCAGACAAGCAAAATATACAGAGAGAGAGAGAGAGAGAGAGAGAGAGAGAGAGAGAGAGAGAGAGAGAGAGAGAGAGAGAGAGAGAGAGAAAGGTAAAAAGCCTGAAGGTAAAATGTAGATAAAGAGGTACAGATTAAAATAAGAACAAACGTAAGGCTGAGCATTTGTAACTAATAAGTCTCCATGTTGTAATTTGGGAGCTGGTTGGTGGCTCAAAAGAAAAAGCCTGCTACAACTTCCTGTATTAACCATGGTTCTAGAGAAATGGAGGGGACAGGATAAGTATATAGAGGGGGCTGGATTTACTAGACTGGCTTGCACAACATGGTCCGGGTAGCCCAACAATGGCTGTCTCACAAAGCTAGGTGTTCCAGCAGTCCCTGTGACCCTGGGTGAGTCATTTACTCCCTGAGCCTCAGTTTCCCCACCTCTTAAGTGGAGCGTAAATAACATCTACCCTGGAACACAGTGTGTTGTTGGCTTTGGCTTTTGCGAGATTTTAATGACAAGAAAAGCCATTTAAAGCCAGGCTCACACCTATGACTCCAGCAGACTCTTAATTGATTGCCACCGGATGCCTGCCTGGTTGACATTTATCTCTGATCTCTGTCTTTACAGAAATCATAAATCTGGCCTGATTATCACCTCGTGCACGATTCTTCCCGAGGAGTCTCAGTCTCTCTCTTTTATCTACCCTCTAAAATATGATCCAATTTACAAATCTTTGACTTACAGCTCGGCTGGAAGCCCAGCTGGTGTGTAAAATGCTGTGCCAGTGTATCCGGGCTGCACCTCCGTGAGCCCCAGGAGGGCCGGGATCTTCCCAACAGCCAAGGGTCCTGTCGGTGAGTCAGTCAAGACTGGGTGCAGTTAGGAGTCATGTCTCCTGTCTAATTTCCAACCCCTGGGAGGGAGGAGAGCCACCAGAATAGTGAGTCGCCGACACCCCCTTCACCATCACCTTCCCCCACCCCCACCCCCACCCCAGTGTGGATGGCTTATCAACAATGCTCTCCTGGAATTCCCTCAAGACACAGATCAGTGAACTTCACCCTCTGTTTCCTCAACTGCAAAGTGTGTGTGTGTGTGGTGGTGGGAGGGGGGCGGGGGGCGGGGGGCGGGGATCCTTTGCTAAATGGTACCCATGCCTTGTACAATTCATGACCCTGGAACCGGGGGAAGTACCTGGCTCCTGTTTGTAGACTCTGAGATAATGTGTCTGTCTGTGTCACTCACTGAGAACTCTGAGCGGTTCTTGGGTGACCAATGGAAACAGGGGTGGGGGGTGGGGGGTGGGGTGGGCGTGAGGATGTGACTCAGCCAGTAAAGTGCTTTCCTTGGTAGGCGAGGATCTGAGTTTAACCCCAGGAACCAAAGTTTAAAAGGCTGGATGTGGTGCCTGCAACCCCAATTTTAGGGAAGTAGAGGCAGGTGGACCCCGAGGCTCCCTGGTAACCAGTCTAGCTCAACTGATGAGTTCCAGGACAATGAGAGAAAGATGCTGTCCCTCTCTCTTTTCTTTTCTTTTTTTTTCCTGGAGCTGAAGACCGAACCCAGGGCCTTGCGCTTGCTAGGCAAGCGCTCTACCACTGAGCGAAATCCCCAACCCCAAGATGCTGTCTCAAAGGAGGTGGGTGGTGTTCCTGAGAGTGACATCTAAGGTTGTCCTCAGGTGGCAGTATGTGCTCGCACACACGTGTGATGGAGGACTCACCCACTGTCCTTCCTGTAGGCTCTTTAAATCGGGCAACAGACTTCATCACCCAAGCTGCACCTTTTTATACTGTCTTAAACTTACAAGACAGCGTATGCACCTTATACCGCATCTTCTGTACACATGCTTAACTATTTTACAGTCATTAAGAATTCTTGTTACATTTATTTATTTCGGAAGGAGGGCATGCCGTGACTGACAGTGGTCAGAGGCCAAAGGGTGGCCAAAGGTCAGAGGCCTCCTCCTACAGTGTGGATCCAGGATCAGACACATACCATCAGGCTTGGTGGCAAGCACCCTTTACCCACCTCGCCACCTCACCAGGTCCTTAGCTCTTTTATATTCTAGTGTTACTTGTAATCAAAACACTCAATGAAACGCAACCAGGAATGAATCAAAGAATCAAAAGCAATTAAAACAGGAAACACGCCGAGGGAAATGAAATTACAGTCCCTATAAAAACCTTGTACCATTATCCTAGAAGTCAAAAGACACGTAAGCTCAAATGCCCAGGAACGGAGAAACTAAACAACACAGAGCCAAACGATGGAATATTACTTGGTCACAACAAAGAATAAAGTACTGCTGCCTGTTGCCATGTGGATGAACCCAGAGGAGATTGTGCAAGCAAGAGAGACTGGTCAAAATAGACTGTATATCATGTGATTCCATCTTCACGGTGTGTGTGTGTGTGTGTGTGTGTGTGTGTGTGTGTGTGTGTGTGTGTGTGTGTGTGATATGTATGCATGTGTCTGCTTGAGTTTCGTTTGTTTTTGTTTTTGTTTTTTTTTTTTTAGACAGGGTCTCACTATTTGCCCTGGCTGTCCTGGAACTCACTACACAGACCAGGCTGGCCTCCAACTCAAAGATCCACCTGTCTCTGCCTTCTGAGTGCTGGTATCAAAGGTATGTGCTACCACACCCTGCCATTGCTTGGGTTAAAAAATTATTATATTCATTCATTCATTCATTTTACCAGGGGGAGAGGGGGAGGCAGGGTTTGCACTCAGATGTGTCAGAAAGCACATGAGGGACAATTTGTATGAGTCGATTGTCAGGCTTGGTAGCAACCTCCTTTTCCTTCCAAATCATCTCGCAGGCCTTGGGTTTTTGTTTGTTTGAGATAGGGCCTCCCGTAGTCCAGGCTAGCCTCTACTTTAACAAGTAAGCAAGGATGATCTTGAACTCCTGAACCGTGCCTTGACTTTCTCTCTCCTGCATGATGCTGTTCACCTGTGCACACCACAAGGGGAGCCCTGTGGCTCCTCTAATCAGGTTGCTATTCTCATTAGGTCCGATGCGGCTTCCTTCCTCCTTCCTGGGAGAGACACCATGTCAACCCATCAGCTGCTAACTGCCTCGACATCTCCTTCGCCTTGGCTCCTATTTGGCTCCGTCCCTACCCACACATCTCCCTTGGGCCATCAGGGCATCTCCTCACTTTCCCCAAGATCCTGCTGAGCTAGAGTGCTGGGCTGAATACTAGCCTGTTCCTGCTTAGAACCCTCCCCACCCCCACCCCTCGCCGCCACCCCCGTTCCAGGCTGGCTCCAAGCTGCAACCCCAGCCTTGACCCTCTGAGCTACACACCACTCTGCAAATCACCTCAAATGAGGGTGAATTCACCTTGTCTTACAGGCTGGGTGATGGTCAAAGGAGACGGACCATGAAACACAGTCCCCCTAACCAGTGCGAGGCTGGATGTTAGGTTTATGCTACCCTATTCCTGCTTTCTCTGCTGGCCAGAAGGTTCCTGTTTGTTCATTAAGATATACTCTGTATGACTGGGAGGCGTGGGTAAAGTGTCTGTTGTGCTACCCTGAGTTGAGGACCTGAGTTCTAATCCTAGCACTTGTGTAAAAAGCCGGGTGTGCTCGTGAACAATTATGACCCCCAGCAGTAGGGGAGTAGAGATTGGTGGACCTGAGATGGCTGGTCATGCAGTCCAGCCAATTGGCGAGGTCCATAGCAAATTCCAGTGAGGCCCTGTCTCAAAATGTAAGGTGGAGAGCAGTGGAGAAAGATAAGAAGTCACGCTTGTATTCTTGCCCATACATGCGTGTGCGCTCGAGCGCACACACATACAACATAAGCAAATACACGCACACAAATATAAACACACAGACACACACACATAGACACACATATACAGGCACCTCCATGTGATCTTGTGTGGACAGCATAAGAATCCCAAGGGCATGGGCCATGAATCAGTCACTGGAGACCTCTCTTAGCCACCAGATTAGCAGGTTTGTCTGGGGCCCACTGATAGAGAACTTTGCCTTCAGCCCAGTGAAATGCTTAGTGCCCACTGCATAGACTAACTATTTGAGTTGGATCTCAGGACCCACATGTTGGAAGGAGAGCACACACACACACACACACACACACACACACACACACACAAACCATACACACACACATACCACATACATACCACATCACACACACACCATACACACACACACCACATAGACATACCATACACACACACCACATACACACATACACACACACATACACACACACACACACACACACACACACACACACACACACACACACACTTTAAAAAAAGATAAATCCAGGTATGCTGGCACAGCCTTTAAACCTAGCACTTGGAGTCTGAGGCCAACCTGGTCTCCATAGCAAATTCCAGGCCAACTGGCCTACCTAGAGAGACCCTGTCTCAAGAAGCAAGCAAACAAGCCCTTCTTTCAGCCTAATTATTTTATTTAGTCTTTTGAGACTGTGATATAATTACATCATTTCTCCCTTCCCTTCCTTTCCTCCAAACCCTCCAATATACCATACCGCTCTCTCTCTTTCAAATTCATGACGTCTTTTTTCTTTAATTGTTGACAAATAAATATTTATTGTGTGTGTGTGTGTGTGTGTGTGTGTGTGTGTGTGTGTGTATTCCTAAACACAACCTCAGCCTAATTCTTAGGCAATATATATAATATGAGTAAAATCAGAACTGACCTGCTTAAAGCAATAGGTAAGAGCTGAGGATCTCAGTAAATAGTCCGGGTTGGGCTTTGCTGGACTCCTTCCTCTTTGGACTGCAGCAAGGCTGGACTACATTTCCCAGCGGCCTTTGCAGGTATGTGGCCACATGACCCACCTCTATCCAATGAATGTGCATAGAAGTGATAGCCGGTGGGACATTTCCAGGCCTGGCTCATAAAACCCTCTTCCCTATGCAGGCTAGTGCAGAATGGGTGGAGGCTGAGAGGTGGGCACGGCCATGAGCTGGGAGGCTGGATCCACTGAAAGCTATCAAGCAAGCAGGGCCACCCATTTGGGATTTTGCCCAGTGTGGGATAAATAAGTATCTGTGGTATTGGGTCACAGATACTTGAAAGTCCATTTGTCACAGCAGCTGGCATTGGCTTACCTAATAGTCTCCCTGCTGTTTGCCCCAGGGTACCTTCATGGATTCCGGGCCTTCCAAGGAGCCCGGTGGGAACCCAGCAGGTGCGATGGGTGATCTGCATTCAGGACCTCATGGCTCCATAAGGAAGGAGGGAGGGTGTTCCTGCTCTCCAGAGCGGCTTTAGCGAGCTAATGTATGTGGACGCTCCTGGGGCTTGGCAAAATGTATTTCAGACGTGAGTTATATTTAGTGATGAACAGCATTTCTGCATGCTGCTGCCACGCTGTCTGCAACCAAGCCTGTCTCCAGTGGCCGTTCTGCAGGAATCAGAGAAGCATGGAGGCAGGAAATCTGAAAACTCCAGCCCTCACTACCTTCTCCAGGCAGGGTTGGGAGTCGGTCCCCAGGGCCACTGACCCAGAGCAGAATGGATATGCCTGCTGCCTGGCTATTTAAAAACAAACAAAAACAAACAGGAAATAGAACACCTGCTCCCCCTTCCCAAGAACTGGGCTGGTGCATCCTTCCCTGCTTTTTTATTTAATTTAATTTTATTTTTTAGGTTTTTCGAGACAGGTTTGCAATGTGTAGTTTTGGTGCCTGTCCTGGATCTCACTCTGTAGACCAGGCTGGCCTTGAACTCACAGAGATCTGCCTGGCTCTGTCTCTCGAGTGCTGGGATTAAAAGTGTGTGCCACCACCTCCCTTCCCTGCTTTCTATTCCTTTTCGATTTAAAAAAAAAAAAAAATCAGCTGAGAAATATCTGCTCTCTCTAAACTGGAAAATGGGAGTTGTTCGGTTTATTTTGTTGTTGTTTGTGTGTTTTTTTTTTTGAGGCAGGATTTCTCTGTGTAGCCTTGGCTGTCCTGAATCTCGCTCTGTAGACCAGGCTGGCCTCGAACTCACAGAGATCCGCCTGCCTCTGCCTCCTGAGTGCTGGGGTTAAAGGAGTGCACCACCACTGCCTAGCGAGGTGTTTGGTTTCTTTAATGACCTATATGTTCTCTGACCTATGAAAGTGACCCTTTGGGACATTTTGTTCTGAGGATGTGGGGTGAGTGATAAACATAAAGGGATATTATTATTATTATCATTATTATTATTATTATTTGTGTGCCTGTGTGCATTATTGTGTACATTAATGTTTGTATGTCCATATGTGCTCGTGGGGTGCAGAGACAGGATGATCCCTGAAATTCACTGTCCAACCAGTTAACCAGTGAACTTCAGGTTCAGTGAGAGGCTCTGTCCCAAAAACTGAGGCCGAGGGGACAGAAAAAGACACCTAGCTAGAATTCGACACACGCACCATGCCTGGTTTTAATGCAGCTTCTGGGCATCTCAATTCAGAGTCCCATGACTGTGAAATGGACTCATGACTGACTGAGCCATCTCCCAGCTCTCGATACTATTATTTTGAGACAGGGTCTCATGTAGCCCAGGCTGGCTTCGAACTCACTATGTAGCAGAGGCTGACCTTGAACAGGATGCTCTGATCTTCCTGCTGCCACCTCCCAGGCAATGATGTTACAGGCATGTACCACCAGGTTCAGTTTTTGCAATGACTGGGTCATAATCTGTGGTTGGTCATACCCCCCCACACACACACACCTTTTATTTTTATTTTTGAGATAGGGTCTCATGTAGCCCAAGATGGTCTTAAATTCACCATGTTGCTGAGGATGACCCTGAACTTCTGATCCTCCTGCCTCCACCTCCCAAGTGCTGGGATTGCAAACATGTATCACCACGACTGGTTTGTGTAACACTGGGGATAGAGCCCAGAGCTTGGGCAGGCGCTCCCCTGGAACATGCACGCCACCTCTGCCCCCCCTTCCCTCCTCCCTTCTTCTTTTAGGAGCTCCAGTTACTAGATTTACTTCTGTCACAGGATAGGAACACTTCCGGGTCAAGCAGTGCCACCCAGGTCAAGGGATCTGGTGATGGGCAGACACATCTGGATGTCACCCACCACATCTGGCAAGAAAACAGGTGCTCGGGGCCTTTCATAGGTATGAGGTGCTGTCAGGAGAGCATGCATTCTGGGAGCGCAGAACCTGAGTGATTAGCCAAGCACTAAGCTACTTCCTAACCTTTCATCAATGCGTCATGTGATCCCTCCATTCTCCCAAGGATGTCCCATCTCATGCCCCATAGAGCAGTCAGTGGCAGGGAAGTCAATTCCACAGTTGGTGCTGGGGGAAAAAAAAATAGCCTTCCCAGATGGACGTGGAGGTCCCTTCCATTAAATAGATGTCCCACCTCCATCCAATGTCCTTTTTGCAAGGCCATCTGGCTGACTTTTACCTTCCAAAGACTGTCCCCTGCTCCCCTGCTCAGATGCCCTGATGAAGTATACTTGGAACCTGGCATCCAGGTCTTCCAGGTACCAGGAAGTGACCCAGGAGGATGGGGGAAGTGAAGAAGGTGGCCACTGGGGGAAGGGTAACTGGAGAAAGGGATTGGCCAGAGTTTCTCACACATTCCACTGAATGCTTGGGGAGCTGATGCTGCAGGGGAGGGCCACACCATGTGTGGGGAGGAGGCAGGGAGGTCGATGTGATTAAGGAGCAAGGCACCCATACACAAACAATTGGATTTCAGCTAAGACGGACAACTGGTCAACTTGGTGACATTCGAGGTGTCGGGCCATTCCTTTGGGGCTTGTAATGGCAGAGTGATTTCTGATGGAGGTCAGGAACTATGATGTCCTGCCAGCCCAGCAGGAGCTTACCAGCCTCTTGGGTTCCAGTTTTGGAATGTGGGCAGCACCACTGTTTAAAAACAATCCCAGCTGCCGGTCAGCTTGATGCCAGGTCTGGCAAGCTTGCCTTTACAGACAGCCCACAGGAGACGGCCACGTGCTGCCTTGGAATCTATTAAAGGTCAAGTATGGGAAGCTTAGGCTGTGCATGAGCCAGAAGAAAGTCTGCCCAGGGCAGGTGGTGCCTTTTGCCTCTGCCCAAGGCCACCTGAACAGCCTGTACCAACTTGGTTAAACAGGACCCAGGCTGGAGTCAACATACTTACTATACTCAAGGTGTGCTCCTGCACATACCCATCGCTCCAAAGAGCAGGCCTTGCCCCTCGAAAGCAAAGGACTTAGTTAAGGAGTCAACCCACTGTCCCATAGAGAAGGTGGAAGGTGGGTTTGCAAACTTACTACAGAACTAGTGATGTGGATGGTGAAGCTTCCAGAAGCTAAAGGAATGTTAATCCCAGCTCAAGCCCCTTCTCCACTCAGTAGCTGAGGCTGGTCCGTAACGTGGCATGATGGACATTAGGCAAGGATGGGTTTCCTCCGCAGAACACAGCTGGCCCCAGTCCCAGCTGGCTCCTATTTGACTTAGACTAAGTCGTTGATAATAGAGAAGACCGACTCCTTCTCTAACAAACGGGTGTATTCCCAGGGCCTCCTATTGGCTGGAGGGCAGATGACCTACCACAGGTCAAGGGTACTAGGTGCCCTTGAACCTTGACTAGAAAGCTGTGTCACAGTCTACAGGAAGAGCCACTGCTCTGGTTTGCCCAGCGCTGAGAGGTGTAATTCAGGGTGTTCAGCACTGAACAGTGGAAGGCCCTGGGCAAATGGGGGTGAGTAGGCTGTCTTCCTGTTGGTGCTGTATGCAAAGAGAGGCCCAGAGGCCTTCCAAGAAGGTGGCACACTCTGAGGTCTTGCAGCCTGGCACCCATGGACTCTGGTGTTGGGCAGGGCCCTCACTTTCTGCGTTAGGCTCTTGACTGCAGAGAAGGGAGAGCTGGGCCTTGTGTATGCATTGATGCTCCTTGACAGGGAAGTCTCAGAGCTCTTGCTGAGCACATAGTAGGTATTCCAGGAAGGGTTGCCGAATTGAGCTAGGCTTAATGGGTAAGAGCATATGCTGTATAAACCTAAAGGCCTGGGGTTCAAATCCCCAACATCCACATAAAAACAAACAAAAACCGGATGTGGTCCAAAACCCCACCCATGTTGGAGGTAGAGACAGATCTCTGGGGCCTGCTGGGGGACACTTCAGATTCAGTGAGGGGCCCTGTCATGACAGAATAAGGTAAACACACACACACACACACACACACACACACACACACACACACACAAATTGAAAAATGAAATAACTGTATAAAGAGCTGCTGAATTGAACTGAAGGCTGAAGGCCCCTACCCCCAAGACTGTGGCCTCCCCAGCTTCCTAGTCTTGTCTGGTGCCCCCTCAACCCTCCCACAGTGGCCTTGGGTGGCACCTTCACCTCCCCCTGCCTCGACTTCCTCACCTGGGAAAGGAAGAAGATAAGATCTAGCTTGGAGGTGAGCTGTGTGGTTGGCTCTTTAATAAGTGTCAGGTTCTGGCATGGCTCCTGGTGCAAGCTGGATAAATAATAATTAGCATTACCAAGCGCTTGCCTGTGTGCCATAGGCACGTCTCACTTGGCCCACCCCGCAGCCTTGGGTGGTGGGGAGCTTTTTGCCCAGAGTTCACAGAGGAAGACATCGAGGCGCCAGGCACAAGGCACAGGAGGGCTAATAGGCTTGGCTAAAAGGAGCCCGTGTATGTAGCAACCACTGCACCGGAAAAATATGTCCTAGTGGATGGCTTCATTTTTCCCTGAAAGTGGTCTTCAGAAGCCTGGCATGGAGGCTCATGCCTATAATCACAGCACTCAGGAGGCTGAGCCACAAAGATCGTGAGTTCGAGGCCAACCTGAGCTACACAGTGAGGTCTTGATTCAGTAAGACAGACAAGAAAAGAGTCTTCAGAATGGGAAGAAAGTGAGCCCCGGATTTCAGAACTGCGGTGTGTCAGGGATGGGAGTCAGGCGGGGAGAATGTGGCTCACTGCAA